ACAACCTAATCTTCTGTTTGCACTTTCAGGTACCTTCTTCCCTTTCAATGTCACACATAGCTCTCTATCGATTTTCGTTAGGCATTAGATCTAACACCTTTCCTTGGTTTTCGTTCAATTTCTTAGATCTCCGCGTTTCTGTTACATAATCATCGATCTTAAATCATTCATTGCAAATATTTCATCCGATCCTGTTAATTTCATATCGATATTCAACAATTCTTATTCTATTGTACGTATTTTCCTCCGTGTATTTGGAACCTTCATTATTTTCATGTTATGCATTCAACATTCGTGATTTCTCTATCAGATCTAATGAGAAATCTTATATTTCCGTATAGTTCGCCGTATATTCAGGATTTCCCCAATCTATCACGAAACTGCTGAGTTTTATTATTTTTTAATTTATTTTATCGATTGATTGAAATTTAGTGAATCATGAATGTATATGTTTCTCTTGCGGATCTTGTTCTTTCGGTTTGAGTTTATTTTTCTTCATTCAGTTGACGTGTGCTGATGAGAAGAAATGGCTATTTGTTTTTTTTTGTTTAAATTTGTATCGTGTCATGATCGATTGTGAGATAATGATTTTTTTATAACTGATTTTGACAACTTGGTGGGTAAGTTGTGTATATTTGAATTCTTTAATTCAAGTTGAGTGTAAAAGAAAAAAACAAAGCCCTTTTAAGTCGGCAATTTTTAATGTTGTTTGATAAAAATAATTTGGACGGCACGTTTGTAGTAGATTTATATTCAACATTTTGTATTTATTGTTTTGAATGTACAATTAAAAAAGTGAACGTACTTTGATAGTATTCATTAAACTTTATTTTAAATGTAAAAAAAAGTTTGAATGACTTTTAGTAATTTTTTTACGGGATGAATGGCTTTCTTATTAAAAAAAAAAAAGAATGTGGAGTATATATATACTTTGTAGCACTTCCTCCGATTATTTTTAATTGTTACTATTTTTTTTTACATCATATTAAGAAAATCTATAATATTATTATTTTTATTTAAAAAATTAGGTTAATATAAAAATACTAAGCAAACGAATAAGTGAGTAATAAGTTTCATTGTTACTTTTAGAATTGCAAGCAGGCCTATAATTATTATTTCTTTTTATATTATAATTTTCTTTTTATTTATAATATCTTTAATTTTAATTATTTCAATATTTTTTTCTTTAAGTAAATAGTTAAGGATAATTTTGATAATTTATAATTATTATTACTTTAAACTTAACAATTAAAAATGAATTTCATAAAAGTGACACTGAAAAAAACCGAGGTAGTACTTGCTAGAATATAAAATATCTTGATTTTTTCATTAAGTTGTGTATGGTATATTTATTTATTGGAAAATGATATTCTAAGGATATTACTAGGTTGTTTGTTTGAGTTGAATTCGGTCAAAAATGTTTGGTTAAGGTAGAATCTTCATCACAACATTTGATTTGTTTTAAAAATAATTTATTCTAGAGCTTAATTGATATGTGCTTTTCATTTAATAGAAAACCAATAATATATTTTATCATTAAAATAATTTTAAAATAATTTATATTATAATTGATTGACGATATAAAAATAATTTATATTATTAATGCATCACCATCCTTCTCTTCATTCAATTTTTTTAATCTAATAATTTATTAATTGAAATCCACTCTTTAAAAATAAACCGGTAGAATGTGACGGGTTTATACCTACGCCCTTGCAATCGATATCTCTACACAGTTACTAACTTAATCGAATAATAATTTATTTATTTAGAAGTTTCAAAGATTACTGTTATGATACTCATTAAGAAAGCCATGATTTTATTTAGACGGTTTTATCTAGAAGGGAAATTTTAACTATTGATCGTCACAACCAATTCATGGCTTAATTTCTTTTACAAAACTTACCGTCATGAGCTTTATTTATAAAAAAAATTGAAATAAAAAGTATCATAACGAGAGTAAATTTCACGTGAAAGATCCGAGTCATGTCATATGATAAAGAATATTTTGTATGCAGAAAACATATGTAAAGTTTGGTAAGATGTTACGTGGCGGGACCGGGAGGGGATCCTCTCCGGTGTAAATTTTACTCGAGAGGGAGCAGTGCACATCACTGCCCTTCAAACTCATATTATCATCTTATTTTATATTTTTGGCATTTGAATGAGTGGTTCAGATTTCACCGGATAAAATTTATACTTGAGAGAATCTCCTCTCGGCGGGACCACTCACTGATTATTAGTACTATGGGCCATTAACTTTTTGGCAACTTTAATAAACAATTGATTTTATTGTCACAGGAAGGATACTACTCTCTCTCCTTGTCTATTTATAAGATTTTTTTAAAGTATATTTAAAATTAAATATATAATTTATGTGTATGCATAATTAGTATGAAACCTAAAAATTACTTTTTGTGCATAAACTTTTTTAATATTAATTTTCAAATTTTAAAAATAGTATTAATTAAAAGTATATCTATAAATCTGTGACAAGAATTACATTTAACATGGTATTTTTTTAATAAAAATATACATTCTGACATCAGTGGTGTACTAAATATTTGATTTTTAATACTAAATTCTTAATTTTACAACCAATTTTGTAATCTTCTTGATCTTGATATGAACGGTAAGTGCGTCACATGTAATTACCATCTAGAGTCCCCTGTTTTGAATACAGAAAAATCTCCACAATGTGTACAAGGGTCAGTGTTTTTGTTGTTTGTTTAGTGATGCTGATTTTGCTAGCTGTATCTTAGTGCTTTAGAAAAGATAAATTATTTCCATGAGCGCTTTGTCCTTTATGGATCCACGCGAGGTTGATTCTTTCATTCTATATATTTAATAATAATACAAGTATAATAAAGTACCGAACGTTAGGATGGACCACCACACCACTAGGCAAATCAAATTCATGTAAGCCAGGCAAATAAAGTTCACTATATAGTTTTTGGTAGCTGAGTGTTTAGAGGCTTAGAGTTGTTTATTTGGCACTTGCACATACACACCCTACATGCGGTGGAGTTTGGAGGTTCTTATTTGTTGGGATAGGGTTTGGAGATTCTTATTATTAACAGCACTAGTTTCTAACAATCTAATATAAATTAGTAATTGTAGAACAAAAACAATTATTATATGCAGACACGAAGTAATTCTAAGCAAGATATGATATATTGCTGATAATCCTAGATTGAAAATTTCAGTCTTGATAGTAAGTAATGTACTAGAAATTGTATATGTGTAGACCTGTGTTGAGTGCTTAGATGAGTGTTGTAATGAAATGTATTTTTGTATTATGGCAGGTTGCTGAAGATGGGAGCTGGTGGCCGAACCTCTGTTCCTCCTTCGAGCAGGAAATCAGAGAATGACACTGTGAAGCGGGTGCCATTTGAAAAGCCTCCATTTAGTCTCGGCCAGATCAAGAAGGCCATTCCACCTCACTGTTTTAAGCGCTCTGTTATCCATTCATTCTCCTATGTTGTTTACGACCTCACCGTAGCCTTCTGCCTCTATTACATTGCCACTCATTATTTCCAGAACCTTCCTCACCCTCTCTCTGTCTTGGCCTGGCCTGCCTACTGGGCTGTCCAAGGTTGCGTCCTTACCGGTGTTTGGGTTGTTGCACATGAGTGTGGCCATCATGCATTCAGTGACTATCAATGGCTTGATGATACAGTTGGCCTTATTCTTCACTCTGCTCTTTTAGTCCCTTACTTTTCATGGAAATACAGCCATCGTCGCCACCATTCAAACACTGGTTCCCTTGAGAAGGATGAAGTCTTTGTGCCCAAACAAAAGTCCAGTATCTATTGGTACTCCAAATACCTCAGCAACAACCCACTAGGAAGAATCCTCACAATTACTATCACACTCACTCTTGGCTGGCCCCTTTACTTGGCGCTCAATGTTTCAGGCAGGCCTTATAAGGGGTTTGCTTGCCACTTTAACCCACATGGTCCCATTTACTCTGATCGTGAACGACTTCAAATATATGTATCAGATGCAGCAATACTTGCAGTATGCTTTGGGCTTTACCATCTTGCATTGGCCAAAGGTCTTGCCTGGGTTGTTTGTGTTTACGGAGTTCCACTGCTCGTAGTCAATGGATTCTTGGTATTGATCACATTCTTGCAGCATACTCACCCTGCATTGCCACATTACGATTCCTCAGAATGGGACTGGTTGAGAGGAGCTTTAGCAACTGTGGACAGGGATTATGGAATCCTAAACAAGGTCTTCCATAATATTACTGACACTCATGTGGCTCATCACTTGTTCTCCACAATGCCACATTATCATGCAATGGAGGCTACCAAGGCAATAAAGCCAATTTTGGGAGACTATTATCGGTTGGATGAAACGCCATTTTACCAGGCATTATGGAGGGAAGCAAGAGAGTGTATCTATGTTGAGCCAGATCAAGGTACTGAGAAAAAAGGCGTGTTCTGGTACAACAATAAGTGGTGATTTTTAGAGCTGCTAAAGCTTGTTATCTATCAGGTGAAAATGTTTGAACTTCTCTTTGGATGTTAGCACTTGGAGAATAATTTTGTTGAATCCTGATATTTGTAGTAGTAAACAGTCCTAAAGTAGTTTGCTTGAATTCTGAATAAGATATAGCATTTCTGAACAGTATTATTGTATTTATTGCACCATGATTTGAAATCAGTGCATTATCTATCTGTTGAGAAACTTATTGTTATTCTTGTTCTTGATTTGTCTGTAAGAATTATGAATTTCGCATATTCCGTGTTAGACTAAGAATTATGAATTTGTCTGTAACTTTATGTGGTCAAGTCTGTTTGATAGGAGAATAAGATGTGTAACTCTCGAATAATTCATTCCAAATTTGGGTGGAGGAAGGGGCAGATCATTAGGAATGTTAGTGTTATAAATCTGCTTTCTGAACACTAAGAGGCATGTAAAATAAATGAATCGTGTATTTTTTTTCTGCTTTTACCTTGTTTTAATATGTTTCTTATCCAGATGATCAGATTTTATGTCCTACTATTGTGAATATTGCCCTTCATTCTCAACACTATTGTTGAGGAAGGAGTATAAGCTACTACATAATGGAGCAAAATATTGGAGGTGTTTTTCAAGAAAAATGCCCCCTGAGAACTTTGAACTGTAATATTGAAATTTGTGTTTTTATTTTCAGGAAATGAGATTAGATTAGGAGTCCTAATCAGAAAAAGATTAATTTCGAGATTTGTTTTCTTAGCATGTTTAAATAACTTCTCCATTACTTCTAGAGAAAAAAAACTTTGATTTTGTTTGCAAAAATGAAATGAAGTGGTTTGGGATGAAACAAAATAAAAGAAAATCGTCCTTTTAGGTTTGATTGAGTATCAATGAATCTCTATGTTACTCTTTCAGTTTTTTTTAAATTAATTTTATATTAAGAACATGTTTAAAAAATTACAAAGATCTTTTTTTTATATATATTTTAAAATAACCTTAAATGGAAGAATTGTTTTAATAATTTTGTATAAAATTTTACTTTAAGTATTTCATCCTTATGACTTTTACTTAATATATATTAATTTTAAATGTTTTCATAAAAATCAATTTAAAAAAATATTTTTTAAACCTATAACAAATGGGCCCTTATAGATAAAAAGAACTCTTCAAAATATAAACCTATTTTATAATAAGTTAACACAAAAAAATTGACATTAAGGGTGTGTTTGGATTGGTGGTGGATAAAATTGATTCTAACTGAATCGAGTTTGGTAGAATTGATAACATAATTGAGTTTAACATAATTGATTTATGTTTGGATATAACAGTGAGTTGTCCAATAAATTTGAGTATAAAAATCACACAGAATCAATTCTTAAGATAGAAGCTATAAATTCTAACTTCTAGTAAAATTAATTATGGAGGCAAAATCAATTCTACTTTTGAAAAACTAAACACTTCAAAATCATACAGAATCAATTTTATATCTCTAAAATTGATTATGGGTTTTGTAAAAGTGAAACTAAACCTACACTAAATGGAGTGATTGAACGATAAATATACTTCAAATTTAATTATAAGGTATAAGAGTATTCAATTAAAATAAAATTCTATTATCTTAATTATTTAAAATTTATTTATTCTTTTCAATTTTATTATTTACTATTTATTCTGGATCGATCATAAATCCAATAAAAGACTCATTTACTATTCTTAAGAGTTGCCTGGACGATAAATATACTTCAAATTTAATTATAAGGTATAAGGGTATTCAGCTAAAATAAAATATTATTATATTATTTAAAATTTATTTATTCTTTTCAATTTTATTATTTATTATTATTTTTGGACCGACATATATATATATATATATATATATATATATATATATATATATATATATATATATATATATATATATATATATATATATATATATATATATATATATATATATATATATATATATATATATATATATATATATATATATATATATATATATATATATATATATATAAACGTGAAAGGTATACACACTTTTTCCATACTTTATCTTACATTTTTTGGGACTTATTCACTGATTTGGGGTTGAAGTGCTAACCTTACAAATCCACCGACTTGCTGTCGTACCCGAGGTTTGCACCACCACATCAAAAGTCCACCACCTAAATTCATCCATATTACTTATTCCCGAATGGAACAATGGTATTGTCCATGGGAATCGACTTTTGATTCCTGCAAATTTCTACAATCAGATCTTGTTTGATCCAAAAGTCAAATCACTATAGTAGAACACTAAGATGAAAAAGAGATCATAAGAGATCATAAGAGAACTACCACTTAAAGAGGAGCTTTTGCGACAAAACTTTCCCCGAACAACGTTGCAGAACGAGAGATAAGGAGGTGACGAAATGAGGTCAAAGATTCTGAAGTCACAGAAAGATCGATAGAATCCTTGATGCAACATTCTCGAAGGTCACGTCCTCTACCGTAATGATAATTCCAAGCAGCAACGAAAATTCTAGTGGTTTGATACACTTCAGAACATCCATGGAGTTAGAACTATGAATACATAGTTCAGAACGACGGAAAGACCAAAACCTTCACACATCCTTCAATCTCGTTCTCAATAGCATGAGGTTATATATCTACGAATGCCAATTAAAGAACGAACATGTACAATGATTCTAAGTATGCGCTTCATTGCAATCTCTTCGAGAATGACATTGTTGACGTTCTAGGGTGGGTCGTGACTTGCGATGCTAGACGCGGTGTTACTGCCATTCTTCCTAAAGAAGGAGTTTCACAATGTGTATAAGGAAATAGTCACCATTGTAACCAGTCTATACGAAACGAGACGCCTTTTCTAAAGGCCAATGTCAAATCACATACACACACTTTTAAATGATCAGAAAGCCTCTCTAATTTTATTAAACTTACTAGAAAATAATTCTGTGTCTAATTAGTGGATTAAAGACTCATTCTAATCAATTAAAAGAATTTTTACATGACATGATTGACTATTCCATTAGGGTTAATCAATTATTATGTTTGTAACCCAAATAATAGATTATAGGAATTCATAATTGATTAGTGAAAGTGGAATTTAAAACCTTCCATATTTAAGCTGCATAATCAATTTTTGAGCATTAAAAAGTCGATGGATTTTGTTATGAGTCGGCCAAAGGCCCAAATGACTAAGGTCTAATTCAACTCTATCCACTCCATTTGAAGGCGTCAACAATATGACAAGTCCATAGTTAACATTAGATGTAGATCTGATACTGAAACACATACTATTTGTACCAAAGGATCTCCATCCGATGTACTGAGGCTTCCACAGGCTGAATCCAACATGTTAGGATGAGGCTCATCATAACCGAGGCTACCTCACCATAGAAAAGCGAAAAGAGTTGCCATCATCGAATTTGACCGCAGTTGAGTGCACATACCTCAGTACACCTTTTCTTTATCGCTTGGTTTAGCCAAGCAACATAGGTTCATTAAACACGCTCTGGGAAAAGGCACCTGTGGCTCTGGTTGCAAGGAGATTAGTCGACAGTAGTCTCATATTACCATCTAAAATCGTTGTTCCAAAGGAAAAACTTGACAAAAAGAACAATATGAACTCTTTCCACATAGGACAGGGAGACAGACCTGTCAAGAAACATCGTCCATACTCGACCATCCTCCTGGGTCCAGAGGAAGCCAACCATAAGGTCGCGTCACCTATAAACAAATTGTTAGCCACTTGCCGACCGCTGGAGATAGATATTGTAACACCCTAATTTTTAGATTTATTGAAATTATTTGAATTATTATAAATTTTATGAATTTATTTAATTATTGAGTAATATTAATTAAATGAATATGGGTGTTAGGAGTGTGTGACTCTATGGTAGGAGTCTGGGGAGTAATTAGAGGGGGAGAGAGGTTGATTAAAATATCAGAGTTTATAATGATAATTAAAATAAATATTATTTTATTAGATTAGTTAACTTAAATAGAAAATAAAGAATTTGGGCCAATAGTGTAAACTAAGAGAAATATAGAGAAGAAAGGAATAATAATATTGATAAGTGAGGGGTGAAATTATAAATTGAATTAGATTACCTTAACTATATAAGTTAAAGGATAATCTAGGTTTAGGAAAATTTTAACAGTACGTAGAAAGAATTGTGAGAAACAGACTAGATGCAAAAGGGAGAACTTGGAGCTTTAGGATATAGGAGACCATTCAGTCCAATTCAGATTTTTTGCTAAGAATTAAGGTAAGGGAGAGAATAATCTTAATAAAGGGTATATACATGAGGGGTATGGTAGAGGAGTTCTTAACCTCCAATAGGTTTGGTATGAATGTGTACATTTCTTGTGTTGTTATATGAATCTGAAAATTGGTGATGCATTGATGTTATAATCTATTTTTAATGATGAAATTCATGTACCATTACCATGAAACTATGTTATTTATAATTGTCGTTAAATTGAATGGTGAATATGGGTGGTTATCTGTTTTGATCTGTATACTATATTTGTAATCAAAATTTGGGGGATTGGGATCTAAATATCGGAGCTTGAAGGTGCTCCATGGCAAAAAACGCTGATTTCTGCCTTCTAGTTCAGGGTGACGGGCGTCACTAGCGTGACAGGTAGACCGTTATGAGCTTTGAACCGATGACAACCGTCATCAACTTGATGGGAAGGTCGCCATGGTTTTTAGGCTTGGTTTTCTAAGTCAGTTGTTAATGAGATATTTCGCAAGTGTACGAAAAGTATCAGAGTAATACAAAGTGAGTCGTACCTATAGAGACCTAATAGTCAAGCTATCATTTTCTATTGCTACACTGTTTATCTAAGGCGATTAAAATAATCATTAGAGATATGGAAAATAAAGTAGAATAAAATAATATAATTAATTCAAAAACGCAATGTTGAAATGTGGATCTCATCAATTCGTTGATACTCTTATTGTACATAAATTTTCCTACCTATGGGAGAATGTTTTCCTCTTTGAAAAATAACTAATTAAAAAGAAACCGTCGTTGTCATGTAATCAGAACCAGATTTTATCCTCTAATTTATATTGTCCATTTTCGCGTGCCCGACGCGTTTTGCTTTGAAGAAGTAAATACCTTTTTTAGAAGTAAGTTTATTTTACTCAGATGAATAGTAGTTTTGACTGTAAAATTAGATTTTAAAGGGTTCTCGGTGTTCGCTCGGTCAATCGTACCTTAAACACATGAACGCATCCGAAAATGGGTTTAAATACACTTTCTAAAAAATACTTACTTTCCTAATTAATTAAAAAAGAGCTTTCACGGTATTTATTAATTAAAAACTAAACAACCTTAATCTTTTGTACTGGATGACTTTCGATCTTACTCGGTGTTGTACCCCAAAATTTGCCCTCTCATTTCTCAAGGAATCACCCTGGATCCTCAAGTTTGCTTCCATCCAATTCCAAGCCTTGAACTGCAATTTTTTCAAGAAAGTCATTCATAAGGGCAAAATGGTCATTTGCACACTAAGAAGTCTAACTTTGACTTTTGGATCAAAATCAAATCTCAAAAATCATATTTCATCAAGACATGTTGGAATATGAAATTTGTTTCATCAAGAATTTCAAAAGTCAAATTTTACTTTGGAAAAGTCAAATTCTAAATACTTAGAAATTTTTCTAAGTTTTTAAGAAGCATGACAAAACTCAGAACTTCTGACCAGATTATCACCATAACACTCAGCAAATTCTGGACACTCTCAAGGCCGAGTTTGGTCAGAACTTCTGGGCAAGTGTTCACAAAAGCTTCAGTCAGAGTTTGCCAGGGTAATTCAAAGAAGGTTAAGAAGCGTGCTGCAAGCCTTCTAGAAAGTCTGAAAGTTC